TATTCTTTGCTAAATTCTATAAAGCAGCTGTATACGTTTGACAATCATCAGTCGCAACACAAAATTGTTTTCTTTTTATGGTTACTTAAATAGCATGTATGTCTACATCTTTTAACATTTCCCTTCTTCTAACATTACTGCATATTCCTCTATACACATTTTTAGTGATAAATACATTCTACACTTATAATGCAATGATTTGTTTGACTTTTAGAAACAGAGAATGCCGAGTGTTGTTTATTGTGTACACTGAGTAGACGGACACCACTCCCATTTGAATGTCATGGAAAAAAGGAGGTTAGTTGGTCAAAAAAATGAAAATAAGGGATAACCTTAAAATACAATTCATCATACCCAACGGTTTCTCTCTGTATACATTAGCAATAAACGATTACTTAAAAAAAACACCTCTTTCTGCCACAAGCAACATTAAAAGCTTAAAATCATAATCTGAGGGTTAAAAACCCGAGAAAAGGATGTTTTGTATGTGTCATAAACGTATGTTATTTTTTGGTTCGATCACCGCAAGTCCGTAAAACTAACACCAAAAGGCCCTTTTAGATATGAAATGTTGCCGATAGCAAATATTTATAAGTACGTAATGAAGGTGGTAACTTTAAAATCTGAATCAAATACAATTTAGGCATAAGCTTTTGTAGCTACAGCTACTTCATCGGACACAAAGAAGAGAGACAGCATTAGTCAAAGTTAATAAACAAAGTTTAAACAAAGCCAGGTAGTGACTCATACGGTTCATCATATATGCAAGTATATGATTAATGGAACACATGACTGTTCAGATTCTTTTTACTAAGACACCTCAGCTTAATTAAGAATGAAAAGCGATTTGCCTTTCTTTTTTTCTGCGATCTGAAAGTGTCTCATCAACCGCCCTTGGTCGAGTTGCACTTGGCTACTGAATTTCAACATTGAGTGACCGTCTCATACCAGTTTTATGTTTTGAATCAGACGCATTTCCAAAGCTTTTTGAAAGTTAGATAAAAAAAAAGATTTCTCAACTTCTCATTGCCAATGGAGGTGAATATTGGAAGACTTTTTTTCGAGTTGGTTCAATCAATGTCTGTGTCAGACATTTCTTACAATCCAGCTGTTGCTATGGAACTGAATACTGTTCGTTGTTTTGTTGGGCTTTGTCGGTTTGTTGCCTAATGTTAAAGAAAACATTGTCCATGTCGTTTCGGGCATCTTGGGCTGTTGTTTAACCAGCTTTAGACTTCTGTTGCGTTTCTGCATCTGGCTAAGGTGCATTTTCTCAGCTCATTAATGCTGAAATACTCGCAAGTATCTCCCTGTGGCTAATCTTTGTGATGTTCTGAAACCTATATTTTTTCCTCACCTACTGCCTTCTCGGCCAAGAAAAGATCAACGCAAAGTTGTTCAAGAACCTCCTAGACAAACAATAACGTTTCGTCCAAACAAGACTAAAGGGGGGTGATTCTGTATCCTGCCTTATCGGACTTGGCTCATTCCACTTTGCCGATACCGCTTACAACAAAGAAACCTCGCCCATTTTCTCTACTTGTGATAGCTATGAATAAACGACCTCGCTACTTTGCTCGGTGGAATCAGCCTTGGATTCAACCTTCAAAGGACGAAGAAGTCCAAGTTCCTTTCAGTAAAACCTACTTCTAGACATTTCAATCTGTCGAAAATGTACTTTTCAATCTGAGTTAAAAAAAAAAAGACATGGTCAAGTGACGCCTGAAGGCATCTCTTTTTTGACCGACAAGATTGAGATCTGACAGAGAACTCCCAAGAGAGATGGTAGACATAAAATGTTTGGTTAAAAAAACACAACTTGGATGTAATAAAAGTACCAGAATGTCACATAAATTTATATATCCTTAAAAAAGGCTGACATTGGTGATCACAAATTACCTTGATTACCTCAAGCGGGTGTACGTGAATACAGTCAAATACAGATTTTATTTTTTTTTTCTTGTGAGTACTACACTTCATGACCATAACAATGAAAGAGTGCAAAGCAATCAGATATTTAATTTTCAAAACCTTCATCACCATCCAGGATTCACTTGAACATGCACGTGCCTTAGTCCTTATCCTCGGGCAATGGCATTGAAGTCCAATTTCCAGCACACACCACAGCTCCCATAGCAACACTCGAGGAAACACTGAACGGATTTGCTACCGACTCGACAATGCCGCTCACCGACCTCTTCCCCAGGTCAGCGTACTTTTTCAAGATTCCCTTCTTAGGGAGTTTCAAAGAAGCCAATCGTACATTTAGTGTGTCCATGCTGCCAATTTCTAGGGATTCCAGACTCGGCATGATTTCCGAATGTTTCATTTTTGTTTCGAACTCCTCCTGAATATAGTCCGATTTTCTTTGTTCTTTTTCACGGGCCGAAATATGAAAAGATTCAACAGAATAGAAGTACCTTAGACAGCTGCTGAGGAATCCTACAAACTTTTCAATAGGCGATCCATGCAGCAGATACAGTGTCTTCAATCTTGTACACCTGTGCTCATTACCCTTCATTTCCTTCTGAACTTGATCAAACCCTGCATCAGTTACTCCGTACAGAGACAATCTCAGATCGCTCAACTTGTTGCACTCTCGTAGAGGCAAATTTGTTACCGCCACAAAGTTTCTGTCATCTAATTCCTTATTCAGACGGAGATCCAGCTTTTTCAAGTTCGTGAGTTGATGAGCACTTTTCGCGAAGTCACAAATAGCGTCTGAACTCAGAATCGTCCCAACCAGAACCAGACTCTCCAGCATTTCCAGACGAGGTAGATAGCGAGCCAAGTCACTTGCTGCACCCGGTGAGTAGCACTCCCCTGCCTGTGAATGTAAAAGCTCATGTAGACCAAAAGTCTGCACAGTTTGGAGGACACTGATATCTGACATTCCAGGAGGAAACTGAGGCATGTCTTGGTTTCTGGAATGTATTACCTCTCACAACTTTTTTCGATACAGCCTGATCGTTGTCACCTCCAATTACATCATAAGATGCAATATCCTCATCTAATGACAAGTCAATAGATTCATTCTCATTGCCACCATCCTTGTTTGATGATTCGCTCACAGCTGGAGGTGAATACTGGAGGACTACCAGTGTCTGCGTTTGGCTGAGGCTCGTTTATGCTGGAATAAATCGCCATGGCATCGGTTGACAGTTTTGTAACGCCTTTCTGTGCTTCTGGAGCTCGTGCCTGTTTGGTTCCAGTTGAAGAGGGTTGAGTATCTTCGGTTTTTGTTTTCGAAGCTTTCTTTTTCGTCGTTTTCTCCATCTTCTTTTTCGTATTTTCAGGTTCCCTCTTCCGGTACTAAAATATTCCATGTATTCTACAAGCTCAGACCAGTCGTATTGACCAATCCGTAACAATTCAACCGACTTCACATTCAATTTGCTCTTATCTTCCGGCTGAGCATGTTCGAGTAGGTATGACAACAGACGCAGTTTGCAACTCGAAATCCCAATTAAGCGGACCCTTCCATCAGGAAAGATCGGTTTGAGCTTCTTGTTCAAGGCCCCCTCACACTGCCCCTCGAAATTCAGCTGGAAAAACAACTCTGTGAACTTTTGCAATTGCAACATATCATGGAAGGGCCTGGCTAAACTGTATCCCCTGCTGATGAGCTTCACACAATAATCAACAAGAGCTTCTCTGTCAAACTGATTATCCTGAATTGCAAACTGGAATACATTTGAAAACCTCTGGAGAATCTCCCCGTGGCCAAACTTCGTGTCTTTTGACAATGTCTACACTTGTTCTGTGGTCTGAGTGATAAACACAACAACGCAAAGCTGCTGGACGCCCTACCAACTACACAACTAAATGGGCAGCCGCCGGAACCGGAGCTCGCAGTTTCAAACCCCTCTCAAGTCCATTTCTTTGTTCAACCTTAAAATAGGGAAAATAATATTCCAGATTGTTTTCAGTTTTTATACATGTACAAGAAAATCCAGACAATTAAAATTTGTCAAAACAGATTCGTATGAAAAAAAGAAATGAAAAAATGAATAACAGTTATTATTGCATCAACAAACTGATGGTTTTCAAGCATATTGCTCATTCTGACTAAACAAATCCAGAAAATGAAACCTACGAAACTGTGAACCATTCAGAATCAAAGAACTTTGATTATTCCAATAAAAAAGTTACCATTGCGAACGTTTATATAAAAAGCAAGAAACGATTTCAAGAAATACATGTGGCAGTTAATCCGTAATGTCCAGATGTTACGACGAACCAACCGCACGTTCAAAAGCGTATAGTCAAACAATAATTAAGTAACAAAACGGAGGTCAAATTATCCAACTGAAAATCCAAAATCCCATAATCAACATTCACATAAAAATAAACTTCGTATTATTGCATCTTAAAATAGCAGTCGTTTACTAAGATATTTCATTACTTATTACTCAATGACAATTTGTTTGATTACAGTAGGGGAAATAATTTAATTTCAAACATCGTAATTCAGTCATATCTAAAGTTACAGCTTCTTAAAATACATCAAAGTTTACTCATCAAAAATAGTACAACATATAAGAAAAACACAAGAAACATTTCAATAGTGGCAAAAAGCTATCAGCTCAATATTTGCCAAATTCGTCTTACGCAGCAGTATACCGTTTGGCATTCATAAATTCAGACCACCCAGTTAATTATAGATTAACTGTCTTTTGTTTTGCTTATTAAACTGCCATTTCCATTCTTCAAGCATTAATTTACCTTCTAGGATTATTTTACGTTCCCTCTGTACATATTTTTTGCTGCTAAATATTGCCCCCAAATACGGATATTTGTTCCTGTGAATATTGCCGTTCGCAACACCGATTTTAAAGGTAAGAGTGCCATGCAATCTTCCAAAACTTCATCACCGTCCAGGAATTCACTTGAACATTAACTAAAGTGATTATATCGGGCATTGACAAAACAGCCGTAGATCCGGCATAAACCGCAGCTCTTGCAACGATACCCGCTGGAACACCTATCGTGTCTGCTATTTACTCTGCAATCTCGCTTGCCGTCGTGGATTTTTCATTCTCGGTTTCTGTCTTTTTCCACATGTCGATTGTCTCAACAATTTTCGACATGACTGTTCCCCTCTTCTTTTTAGGGAGTTTTAAGCACGTCAGTCTTGCCTGCAGTGTCTCCATGTTACCAATGTCGAGGGCTTCAAGATTTGGCATGACTTTCGGATTGTTCATATTTTGTTCGAACTCCTTCTGAATATTGTCCGGTATTCTGTCTTGTTTATAAGCGGCTGAGAAATGAAAACATTCAACGAAGTGAAAGTATTGTAAGCTGTTGCTGAGGAATCCTACAAACTTCTCAGCAGGTGATCCATGCAGAAGATACAGTGTCTTCAATCTGTCCCACGAATTCTCGCCATCCTTTATTTCCTTCTGAACCTCATCAAACCCCTCAATGGATACTTTGTACAGAGACAGTCTGAGATCCCTCAACTTTTTGCACTGATGTAGCGGTAAATTTGTAACCGCCACGAAGGCTCTATCATCAAACTGCCTATTCAAACGGAGATCCAGCTTCTTCAAGTTTTGGAGTCGGTGAGCCCTTTTCGCCAAGTCGCAAATAGCGTCTGAACTCAGAATCGTCCCAACCAGAACCAGACTCTCAAGCATTTCCAGACGAGGAAGGTAGCAAGCCAAGTCTCTTGCTGCACCCGATGAGTAGCACTCCCCTGCCTGTGACTCTAAGAGCTCCTGTAGACCGAACGACTGCACAGTATGGAGGACACTCACGTCTGACATTCCAGGAGGAAACTGAGGCATGTCGTGGTTTCTGGAATGTATTATCTCACACAACTTTTTCGATACAGCCTGATCGTTGTTACTCTCAATTACATCATCAGATGCAATTTTCTTATCTAATGACAAGTCAATAGATTCATTCTCATTGCCACCATCCTTGTTTGATGATTCACTCACAGCTGGAGGTGAATATTGGAGGACTTCCAGTTTCGGTTTATTGTCACCTTCGGTTCGTGGATCTGTGATTGTTTTTTGGTCAGCTTTGGATTTCGGTTGCTTTTCTGCGTTTGGCTGAGGCTCGTTTATGCTAGAATAAATCTCCATGGCATCGGTTGACAGTTTTGTGACGCCTTTCTGCGCTTCTGGAGCTCGTGCCTGTTTGGTTCCAGTTGAAGAGGGTTGAGTATCTTCGGTTTTTGTTTTCGAAGCTTTCTTTTTCGTCGTTATCTCCATCTTCTTTTTCTTATTTTCAGGTTTCCCTTTCCCGGTTCTAAAATATTCCATGTATTCTACAAGCTCTGACCAGTCGTATTGACCAATCCGTAACAATTCAATCGACTTCACATTCAATTTGCTCTTATCTTCCGGCTGAGCATGTTCGAGTAGGTATGACAACAGACGCAGTTTGCAACTCGAAATCCCAATTAAGCGGACCCTTCCATCAGGAAAGATCGATTTGAGCTTCTTGTTCAAGGCGCCCTCAAACTGCCCCTCGAAATTTAGCTGGAGACACAACTCTATGAACTTTTGCAATTGCAACATATCATGGAAGGGCCTGGCTTCACTGTATCCCCTGCTGATGAGCTTCACACAATAATCAACAAGAGCTTCTCTGTCAAACTGATTATCCTCAATAGCAAAGTGGAATACATTTGAAAACCTCTGAAGAATCTCCCCGTGGCCAAACTTCGTGTCTTTTGACAATGTTTTCATTTGTCCTGTGCTCTGTGTGATAAACACAGCAACGCAAAGCTGCTCAATAATCTCCAAGACAAAACCAACCCGTTCATCATTATGACTTGTCAGAGGGGTGAGCTCTGTACCCTGCCCTATCGGATCTCGTTTTGCCACATTTTGTTGCTTTTGCTTCCGCTTACAACAAAGTAACCCTGTCCGTATTTCTACTTCTGATAAATCTGCTTCAGTAATTTGTTCCGTAGATTCTACTTTGGACTCAACCTTCAATGGACGAATAAGTCCAACTTCTTTTGCAACTTCCAAGGCATGTCCTCCCTTATCTGACGAACTCAAGAAGTCCTCTTCCGCATAGTCCGCATAATTTAAACAACTATCAACGAGTCTTGAATAAACCACTCTACCAAGCTCTGCCAGTACGTTCAGTTGGTCTTCTGTGAGCAGACTGAGTTGGTGTCCCTCATTGACACCGACTTCCATCCCTTTCATCCTGTCGAACATACACTTGACCAATCTGAAGATCACATTTGACATGGTAACGTCAGGTTTGAAGGCATCGCCTTTTGTCCAGATTGACAATTGACAGAGTGCTACCAAGACAGCTGGGAGACATGAAATATCCGTTTGAAGAATTAACTCTTCTAGATATCGATGAAGATTTCGTTTGTTGTTTGTTGTAGGTGTTCTGGGTGTCTTCTTAGGATATCTACCAGTGACCGTGCTGTCCTTTGTTTCTGGAGGAGCTGATACTGTTAGAGAGTCTTCCGCCTTGGGCAGATGCTGCTCAATGTTTCTGTCTGCAGTCGAAGCTGATTTCGGTTCAGCTTTACTCTTGACTGCCTTGTGCTCAGGGGTAGCTTTATTCCTAACTTCAGCAGTATCCAAAACTACATTGATGTATTCCAAAGCATTTCTTAACGTAAAGCCGGTAATGATGACATAGCGCATGTTATGTTTATGTGACGCAGCTTTTGCAAGCTCTACGTTTCCAGTGGTCAAAACTAATTGACAGCCTAGAAATCCATTGTCGGTCATTACTTTCATGACAGCGTCGATGTCGTCCTTGTCGTTACAGTCATCAACCAAAACTGTCAGGTTGCTTTTGTCTCGTGCGAAGTGTGCATTAATAGATTCGGCCGAAATGTTTGCGTCTTTTGGAAGCATGCATTCAACGACTGCTTTACCGATGGTTTTATCTTTAATAAGCAACCAAGCTGGGACAAGAACAACTATCTGATCACTACCCCATAGTGCACCTTCCCTTCCCATGGCCCAGTCGTATATCAGTCTGTACAAAAACGTAGTCTTACCACAACCCCGTCTACCTTGTATTATAGCATGCTTACTGGCAAATTCTGGAATACCATCATCAAAGATACCAGACTCCGAGTCTAATTGATACTTTACAGTACTACCTCCGTAGGAGACATTGGCGAACATCTCTAAGGGTCTGTAGACTGTACTTATTGATGCGAAGCAAGCATCGTCCCCGTCAACCCATGGCGTAATAGGAATTCTGCCCAATTTGCTGATCACAAACATTTTGATCTTTGAGGCAAGCGTCTTCAAATCCAACTCCGGGACGGATTCTGTCGAACAATTACAGGAGAAACTTAACATGTTGAGTGCATATTGTCATGCACGTCTTATTGAACTCTTCAAACCAATCCTACAGTCACTGTATGTGTTTTATTCAAAACTGTTCGCGTATTTCGTCATAAAGGTTTCATTTTTAAACGTTTGAGGATAGACGGACTTTTAAGTATATTTGTAATTAAAACTTGAAACAATTAATACTTAATAGTGCCCGTGTTCTCTGGTCTGTGTATATCTAATCTTGTTAGCAATGTTGGAAAGTACAATCCAGTTTGTACTGACTTCAGCCAGGTGTATGGCACCAAGTACCGTGCCCACCCATCCTGATAAGCTAACAATGAAACAAAACAAACTTGTTCGTCGAAATAAATTGACAGGGATGCAAAATACAAGAGGCATTCCACTGATCTCTCTATAAAGACTATATAGAGATCAGTGAGGCATTCACTGACATTCGCTGAGATTCTCTTTTGACTATTCCTCTTTTTATGTTCCCCTTCAATTTTTTTACCTTGCTTATCCAGCCTTTTGTAATCACCTTTCTCCTTGTCTTCTCTAGAATGCAAAGATCGTCGACGCCGCTTCAAGATCAGGAAAACAACAATCCCAAGAACGATGACGAATAAAGTCACGCAAACAGCGATGACAAAGACATTGGACGATCGAGGACCACCGTTTGAATCTAATGCATACATGGAATCAAATGAAAATAATACTATTAACGCCACAGCTTTACCCAAAACAACAATGAGCGTTTTTTTTCTGTATCAAATGATTGCTTGAATCTAAGGATGCACTCCCACATACCTCTTTACACAATAATTTCCTTTACTGTTGACAGAGATAAATAGAAGAATGGTTTGGCATCCCAAAGAGGATTTAATAGCGTCATTCTGATGATCTTTTGCCAAAGCACATCGTTCCATGTTTCATCAAATTTTTCTTTAGCAGATAATTTCTATTGATCTCCTCACACGATAGAGCAGTCACTTGTTTCTTTCAAAAGATAAAAGTAAACATATACTACATTGTATTGATAAATACATCCACGTATGATAATTTTGATGAGACCAGCAACCGACAAACATGGTACCAAGATGTGACGTCATGGAAGGCATAAACTTACTCTCTATCAACACATCCACATAAGACCTGATCAGATTATCATTCGCAGGGAAGACATGACACCAGTATCTGACATCATCATCTTGGGAACAGTTATTAAAGAGCAGAGCGCCCTCCATTGATATGCCGAGGCAGTCCTTTCCAAGATCATACATCTTCTGGGGACCATCTGGTAGATTCAGTGTGCCGATCACAGTGGCAGACTCTGCATCATTGGCACCAAAGGACCAGAACAAAGTTGCCTTCGTTGTCAAGGAGATGTCTGAGAGAGCCGGACATTGAAGAGAAAATCTAGTTTCAGGTTTGATGGTCACGCTGTCACCTTCTTTAGCGCTACCTCCATCCAATGGAAAGCGATCCCCTATAGTAAGAAAGCATAATGAGAGAGAAAAAATAAGTTGGAAAGATGCCTGCATATGAAACCTTGCAGATATGACAGACAAAATGGTAATCTTCATAAAACTAGAAATCTGAAGTCTCAGCTGCAAGCTCAATCCAAATACCTACCTATCACTCGGACTTCAACATCTATCTGGTTTTCATCTCCCACAGCACATCGATACACGCCAGCATGGTCATCATCAACTGACTGAATCACCAAACCAAAGTCACTGGCGAGATCTAATTCAGGACTAGAATCGACGACACCAGTCGACAGGTTGTAACTGAGGATTTGTCGATCTGGGTTGTCGAGCTTACTCCACTCCACCTCACAAGCTGTGTCGCCAGGTGTCCAGCTCAGACAAGGGAGTATCTGCTGTGAGTCGTCTCGCAGGTAGAAAGATCTTTCCGAGGCCTTCAGTGCATCACTCGCTGATTCCATCTCGTCTACTTCAAAGAAAGAGTAAAGTGTGGAGCAACCGTTTCAAATCGATAATAGAAATTTAGTTGAGAAAATGTTTCTTGTTTAGTTTTCTTTCTTTCTTTTTTATTTTTTGTGGCAAAATTAACTTCGTCATCGAAAAAAGCACCACGTTTTCCCTTCGATTAACATACCTTTGGCATTACCTGATATCTGGGCATTGGTGTCGCAATTTCTGAGAGTACCATCTGACTGGAACACGTGACACCAGAATCTCTGTGCATCTTGCACGTCATTTAGGGAGTTGATTGTAAGTGAAGCGTCACTACCAACGTTGAAATCGGCGCCATGTTGAATCTGCAGGGTAGTACCATCGGAGAAACGAGCAGCTATGATCTGTGTATCTGTAGTGCCGCCCTCTCCCGTTGACCAATACACTACTTCTGGTGTCTGTGACGCGCACTCACACAGTAGCGTCTGTCTGCGTCCTCGCTGGAAACTAGCAGTGGAAGATGCCTGACCACTGCCTCCTGGAAAGGTGTCACCTGTTAGAGATGAATATCGGCTATTATTTGACTGTGTTATCGATGGAAACTGGAAAAAAGTGATATCTTAAGCCGCTAGGGTATTCTTGTAGAGCAATCAATAATAGTTTCAATGAGGGGAAATATGTATTGTAGAATTGAATATTATTATCTTCAATCTGCCTCTGCCTCCAATAGAGTCCGAATCTAATCACAAACTTTAGATAGGTGCCTTCTATACCCTCTAGGGAAATATTATGTCAACAATACCAAACAAAAAAAAACAGCTTACCTATAACTTGGATGCTGATTTCTTCAAGTCGAGATATTGTGTCACGTGGTAAGACTTGACAGAGATACCTTCCTCCATCACTCTCCTCGACACCTTCAATGACGAGGCTGAAACCAGACGTCCCGAACGCGTACCTGTCGCTCTCTGGGTAGTCTGCGTTATGTTTGTGAGTGATCAACGTTTGCTCAGGAGTCGTGGGACTGTCCTGTTTGTACCAAATGACCCGACTAATAGCCTCATCGGGACGAAAGGACGGGCAAGGTACTTGGTGCCACACGCCTTTTTGAACGTAATTGGTTGCACCAAAAGCACTATGAGTACTGTTAACTGAAAACAAATAACAACGTTGCATGTGTATCATTAATTATACAAAGTTCTTAGGAATCTGAAAGTTATTCTGTAAAAAAAATAGGGAAATAAAGACTGTGAATCGCTCGCTTAGACAATTTTAGTGCTATAACGGTTACAATATTAATCATGCCTAGTCTAAGGAATAACCTCTTGCATACAAGCGTCTATGGTTATTGCGCAGATTCGGTGATTAATTATGCAAAATAAGAATGCGTCTTGACATCTAGATTCTGACCATTCATCGCCTTCTATCGGGTCGTCCGTAACCCAATGTTCTTTTTAGAATGACAGCCAAACTGACCAATAAAATAAACAGATTGGTCAACAGTTCTGATCGAAATGACGTCACAGTTTCTAAAGTCGACTCCGATTGGCTGGCGCGCGGGGGTTGCGTAAGATTTGAATGTTACGATTATCAGACGATCGTTCGTGTGGCTCTGCACACGTGAATGTCCGATCCTCAGACTAAAATAGTAGCATGAGTGTGACCCATATCAAAAGTAGTTAGTTTTGGCTTGGTAAGAGGCTTATTAAAACATTAACAGTTTTGCACGTCCAATTTCGCAACATAATTCCTCGTCCATTTCCTGAGTTACAGAAAGTCGGTTACGAGTATCGTTTCTAATTCGCAGTTGGATCATTTTGATTTCGTGCAGGCCTAAATGTTTTCAAAATACGCGAGTGGACAATATTTTCGCTAAATTAAACCGCGTGTGAAAATACGTGTCAATTTTCCCGTGAAATTTGAACGAAGGTTTTGCAATGAGCAAGGTGTGAAAATGGACGAAAAATGACAATTAGACTCTTACCGGAGTTTTCTGGGCATATATTATAGGTTGCAGCACAGAGTCCAAGTGTTAACAGAATCATTGTTGTGTACCAAACCGCCATGATGCCCAGATGTTATCAAGTTCACTGCAGAAAAAGAATCATATATATACCATTGAGCATGGATTACAACTTGTGCATGCTGAATCACGATGTCACATAATATGCGAATGTGTTTACTGCGCCTATATGGAAACAGTCTTCATAATTATATTAGTCTTTTTAAAAAACAAATCATGTTTTTTTTTTCTGAGAAAATAGGGTACATAACATTGATAATCAAAAAAATGCTTGTACAAGGGATATCAATTTGGATCAGCTAAACTTAAATTTAAATACTATGGAATCGCCCTCAGTTAAAAAGGGAGGGGGACCCAATATCACAAAATCAAATCCTCTCTCTATAGGCTAAAACCTAACTACTACATAAAAGAAAACGTCACGGGCAAATCATGAACAAAGAACTGACAATGTTATAAACGGAGCGATACTTTTGAAAGGAAACAAACGAGTGAAATGACCGGAAACTCACATTTTAAACCCAAAGTCAGTGTACTTTAAAGGGGCGTTACGGCCCGGAATGCGCCCAATTGGGCTACAAAACGCGTTTTAAACGAAAGTATATAAACATTGGAAAGAACATTTTAAAGTGTGATACAAACGTCTACGGCCACTCAACCATCCTTTAAAAACTGGGCATTTTTTGTGTTATTATTGCGAGAACCATGCGAGAACGAATTTCGGGGGTCACAATAATGTTTATTTTGACCCCTAGAAATCGAGCTGTGAGTGTTAGTTTGTGAATCCTGCCGCAAAGTGGTTCGCATTTTGAGGACGTGAAAGAAACAATATTTTTGTATTGATGTCGTATGTACATGTATTGTGTGTCACCCACACAACGTGTATATTATATCATGATGTCTTGAAATATGCTTATGCTACAAATTGCCACATTTCAGCCGCGTCCAATGTAAACAACCGGGGTTTTTCGTCTTTTCTCAGGAACGGTAAGATGGATCAGTTTCCTTTCAACCAGACCTTTGAAATATGATAGTAAACAATCCAAAACATTCGGATGGAATTGTTTGTATCGGGATGATGTAAATCAATATTAGTATTTGCCCTCATCGACGTGTTAACACTGTATACTCAATGTGCTATCTCCCGACTAAAAGTTGGGGGAAAAATCACTCGGGTGGGAGTCGAACCCAGGACCTCCTGCTCTCTAATGCAGACGTCTTATCAGACGTCATTATGTTCTTGAGACACAATTTTTTTTAGTATGAATGCTAATTAAATGAACAGTGGTTACAGATGAAAACTGGTATGCAAATAAATAGATGTTTTCATCGGATGTCGTCAGCCTACGCCCCTACCTAGTGTACGCAAGTGCCTATTATTTGCTGTGAATTCCAATCAGCATAATATTCGTGTCGAACGTTAGATTATACCCGAACCACGCTCGAACTCACCATGGGGCCTAGTACCTGTCACAAACAACAACAACACCCGTTTGCTATGGTCACCTTAGTGTTTCGTATATTATTCCAAGTGGATAATCCAACAATATTTAGTCGGGTAAGATGAATCTCCAACGACGAAATCGTGGTGATTGCTGACGCAGTATGCAGTATTGCATGCAGGCCTGCGGGACTTTCCAGTTTTCACCCTCTTTATCTGCACACGCGTACTGCACCTTGACCCCACAGCCCACCAATAATGCTAGGCATCGTTAAATTTGCATTTGCACTGACGATGTGATTACAAGTTCACAGTGCAAATTGTGCAAATAACGGTGGATTCGCACAATGCCAGACATGTCGGTCTGCAACTCAGTCAGCTCTCAGGCGCGTACTGTGTGTCGCTGCACTGCAGACAATTGCTGTTATGCGAGTGCGACATAATAATACTCAAAAATCTCAAACATTTCTGCCAAAATTTCAAATACCATAGGCTCCCTCTAGCAATAAGCACATACGTACCGTCCGCACTCAGGGGAATTGTTTTAAATTGTACGACTTATTTGTACTAAAATGTTTATTGCCTGCATCTGCCTTACTCCGAAAAAAAGGGCATTTAATTATTGCGTTTGCGAAAATATCCACTCTGTTGGAACTCAATCCTCATGAGACCGGAACGACATTCGAACTTTCCAAATATATAATTTTATTCCATAAGGCCCAAAAAATGTCTCCGGCTTCTGGTATGGAGCTTGCCCCAAAAGTGGTGCGGTGACGACCTCATTTAGAAAACGTGTACAAAACGTGTTGCGAACAAATTAGTACAAACAAAGGAAAAGGGAACAGGAACAAATGAAAATCCTCGATTTACACCATAAACAAACGTAGGTGAGTGTGTGAGTGAGTGACTAACTGCTACAACAGTAGTAATGCAATATTTTTTTCCAAAAAAAGGGGAAATTACTATCATTTCCTCGCGATTGTTTGGACCAAACAGGAAAAGAACCTTTGGTTTTGAACACTGCTCTCGCCTGAACCCATTAAGTTTAGTTTGCAATCGCATACATTATCTGTGAATACAAATTGTTTTCCGGAGGGGCAAACTGAGATCTGATACAACAAGTGGGTGCAAGTCAAAATGTACTCAGTATTGAAGAGCATTTTGAAAGGGACGGCTTTCAACGGAAACCCTTTACTTTGCGTCGACAAAATCTTAAATAATGCATTTTTTTTACAGTGTGTTTTTATTACAATTATTAACAAACTGCCTTGGGTTTATTGTTTTGTTGCTCCTTGAACCGGAAATACATTTTTTTGGTCTTTGTGTGCGTTTGATTGGAAAATGTAATGGTGTCCGTTAACCTTTCGAGATCTTTATGTGAAAACAGAAATGCATTAATGAGGAACTAAACTCTCACGAACTGTGTTTCCTTTCTGTTTTGTTTTCAAATCTACGGGCATAGATTGACATTTACTGATCACTGTCAGTATTTCATTTTCAAGTTCAGAAACACAATGGATATGGGCCTCTACACGGAAAAATATTATTTACAAAGCCTTTTGTTCAACATGGCGCTTTTATTCTTCTTAACGTTATCCGTACTGACTTGTCTGCGTGTTTCCGAAGGTAAGCCCGTTAATCTTTATTGAACCAAAATAAAAGGTAATGCCAGTACGACTGTTTAGAACAATTTCTTGTGTGAATTGAAGAAAAGTAGATAATTTTGGCGGAGGAGGCTCAGATGCTTCGCCGTGCTAGCCCAAGTATATGTCTTTTTAATACTTAAAATCACGAGTTTATAGTGAAGCTATAGCCCTTGTGTGTATCAGCTATCTTAAATGCCTTTGATAATTCAGATGGGATAAGTGACTTCTTGTACATTCATACAAAAGAGGCCCTCTTAGATGGCCGCTATACGCATACGGTTTATTGCTGAAGAGTGACTTTGTGATCTTAGCACACAAGACAAACTGATGATTCACCCCCTCCCCATACACTAATGCGAATCTTTTAAATATCTTTGAAGCCGGAGCGGCACAACCCAAGATCCAGGGAGGAAACCTACGATATGCTACCGTTGGATCCAACATCACCTTCACGTGCGTCCTGTCTGGTGACGACCCTTTTTTTACAGTCAGATGGTATTTCAACAACCAAACGGTGACTCACTGCGGTGAGAATAAAATCTTTACCGACTTTAGCATCTGGAATGATACCTACAAGGCTTGCAGTTTGACAATCGACCCCGTTACGGAGACATCAGGGGGCCTTTACCTGTGTAAGGCGTTTTCCAATGAAGCAGGCCTACAGGAAGTTCAAGCGACCGTTCAGCTCCATGTTATCGGTGAGTCGAGTTATAGCAGAACGCTATCCCGTGACAACAGCGGATCCGGGGGGCGGGCAACCGGGGCCGTGCCCCCCCCCCCAAAAAAAAAACACCCATTTTTTTTAAATGACGTCGCAAAAAAAGGCTGGCACTGCGTACACCGCCATCTTTTGCTAAAAGCAAATTGGTCAAAGTGGTCAGAAAGTGCCTCAGATCGCACCACAGAGTATCTACAATCCATTTTTCCCCGGGCCCGCTAAAGGGCCCCGAAGCCCACGGCGTAAATATGAATTAACTTGTTTAGGGGGAACAACATTTTGTTTGCCACCCCCCCCCCCCCCCGTGTTCTGAGTCCGCCTTTGTCGTGTGATTTTGTTTGAACAACCTTTTTCCATCCTGTTTATATCCTTTCCCCAAACTGTACCTCGGACTATTTTTTATTTCCTCCACACCCCAAGTCCAAAATATAAAAACTGTACAAATTGGGAGATTGTTGTTCAGACTCCGCAAGTTTTGAAAACCACAAGAAAAAAAATGGAGAACCACTTTCATAGATTTTGAGGTGTGTTGTATTGTTTGTATGTTTGTTTTCATATGATCACCCTTCGATGATCCCTTCGATAACCCGATTTGACGACTCCTCGGTGGACCGACGAGATGCCACGCTGCATCTGCTGGACCCCGCCACCGGAGCTGTGCTTGACGATCCCGAGTATGGCCCCGTCTGCGTCCAGTCCGGCACCACGCGGCAATTCGAGTGCAGGATTCAAGACGCCAGACCTGGGGTCTGGCACTTCACGTGGATGCTTGGGAATCAAACGATCGCTACTAAAAGCGAGGCATGGACCGGAGCTGGGCTGGTCAAAGTGAGCAGCTGGCACATCGTGACAAACCCTGGGAACGAGACTCGAGAACGTAACCTAACGTGCCTTGCAACGAGCAGTGATCAGTCACTGTGCACCAGGGTGCTGATAACGTCTTGTGCAGGTGAGTATTGTATGTGTTTGCTGGTCCCAGACCTGATTTTACCTGCCAGTGATTTCATTTTAAGCATACGCCTCAATGTCTTATTCCTTTGTCTTCCCTGTAATCAATTTCAATAAAAGTTAATTTCTTTACCTTGAAAAAAATGTATGTCACCAAAATGGGTATCATGTGTTTGTTCTGTCATGCATTGATACAATCTCAATATGTGTTTTATTGTAAATTCAAGGGACTCATCAAGCAAACTGGAGTGTGAATTATCTTAACGCTTCATGAAGTTCAGAGATGTTTCTATGGTCGTTATATTTGGGTATTCAATAGCAAAATGTGCACAGAATTCACGCCATGTATTTTGGACACCCATTCCTTGTCTTTAGATTACAATGTTATGAACACTATGAAATTATTATCACGAAGAAAGATAAATAAAACATGCTTTGTGACAGAGGGTATCTCTTTCGATGTAAGGTCTTTTAATTTCACTAACAATTGCATGACTCATCTACCTGTTTATGACAGAACTGAAGAGAAAGCAAAATATGTGATACAACCGTCCAAACTACCTTTCATTTTAGTTATTCTATTTTTGTTGCAAATACAAACTTTATTCAACTAAATTTACTGTTTTTTTCTTCATAGTATATGTTCTGATATAGTCCATCTTCACTTCAATTCTAATCTGAAATTTTGAAGAGGGAAACATTCGATTTTTATTCAGAAAGAAGATTTTTTTTACGATGCTTTATAGCAAAGTAATAGGATGAACAGAAATTTATACCTTAAATATTCGGAAAGCTTATGATTCTGATGCATGACCCAGTCCGACGTAGTCATGTGATGTATTTTCCTTGTTCAGGTGTAATACCCATTCTTGAAGGTACCGGGGTAAGAGTTGACCCAGAATCCACGTCATATTTGACTTGATACTTTTCGGGTCAAATGACACTTGTTGAGTAATAATGACACGTTCTGAATCATTATTCAACAGCCAAAAACTTGAAAAAAATTGTCAATTTGACCAGCAAAAAGAAACAAAAATGACCCTCAAACATGTCAGGTCAAATTTGACCCGGGTTCCGGATCAAATCTGATCCTAGGCTTTCTTTGAGTGTGTCAGCAAAAGAAAACATTGATTGGTCTTGAAAATATGTGAAATATTCTCATGTAAACAAATAACCTGTTCGTTATTCAATTAAAAAGATGCTCTCGTCAAAGGTGCAAATGAAGTGCCTATCGCCATGGTAACTGTGGTCAGTGTTCTAAGCGCATTGGTTGTCACTGCAATCGTGATGCTCGTCAAGTTTAGAAGGAACCGCAGGGCACAGCGTAGTGTGCAGATCAAACGTGACGCGCGATCGTCTGTCGAAATGGTGAGCCATTGTTTATTTGGCTGATTTTTATAAAACATAAAAATGGAAATATTTACGACAGAAAAAAAAATGAAACAAGGAAAGGGAAATTCAAGTGTGAAGGAATTTCATTGAAACTGTCACGCGATAATTTTAAACAGGTATATTATTTATATAACGATAGGAAAATGAAAGTTGCATGCAGAAAAAAATACGAAAGGTCAGGCCTTAAATATATATATTCAGACATCTTAGACATGTTTAAATTCAATTATACATGTAATCAAACGAAAGCAAAATAATGCATTTCAAATTAAACTCAGGAGCTTTAAAATGAATCAAGAAACGGCATAAAAAGTATAGTGACCTAAAACGTGCAAATTGTTCAAATGCTATAGACTTGACAAGGTTTTTTTTCTTGAATGCCAAAAGCTTTTCAGATTGGCTTTAAATTCATTGAAAACGAGGGAGGCTTGGCTAGTTTGCAGATGAAATTGATAAGTCGAGGGAAAAACATAGATATGTTTTGTATCAAATATTACATATTTTTTTGTCTTTTTGTGTCTCTTTATTTTAAGGACGTTGCTTTGGACCAGGATGCTTTAGAACAACCATGTCCATCTGAGGTCGGCAGCTCACCGGACGTGAAATACGAGGACAGAATTGCACCGCAAGGTCCACACAAATACAAGGACAAAATTGCACCACAGGGTCCACACAAATACAAGGACAAAATTGCACCACAAGGTTCACACAAATACGAGGACAACATTGCACCGCAAGGTCCACACACATACGAAATAAAGATTTCACCACAAGACCCACATAACTACGAGTACAACATTTCACAGCAGGTTGCACACCAATACGAAGACACAAGTTATGCGCAGGTGGAGTATGATGATACTATACCACCACAGGAGGAAACACCAATGCTACCTGATGGCGATGATGATAACAATCTACCTCCCTGGGCTGAGGGGTGGAAGGTGCCTCGCTGCGACCTCATCATGGACGAGCGAGTCCTCGGAAGAGGGAACTTTGGTGAGGTACGATCAGGTGCTGTGATGAAAGATGGAGAACTGACAAGGGCTGCTATCAAGATGCTCAAAGGTAACTTATATCTACTTATCATATGAGGTTAATATATACCTTACAAAGGTCTAAAGGCAATACACAGACAATTAAGCCCCGCCCAAAGTCGTTTTAACCAATTACAGCCGTGTATTTATGTCTGACATAGGTACATGCGCGTGTGATGCGCGCGGCTTGTAAATAGTGGCATGTCATTGATCTCCATAATCAATGTGGCATTCAGTGAAGCGCACGTCTTGTGTTCCACTTGCGCAGTGTGCGGGGCCTAATGGGTCGGTCAGTTCGAATATACACGTCAACTTTGTGGTATTTAGTTGACAGCTGTATACTAAATGTTAAATAATGTTAAACACTGTGTTTCTCAAACAGGCCATGCATCCAAGAGTGAGAAAGATGATTTCATCGATGAACTTCGCACGATGACCCCTCTCGGCCACCATCCTAATGTCGTCTCGCTGCTTGGCGCATGTCAGCATCGACGTATGTATTCGGTTTATTGTAAACATTTATCGATAATAACTGACTGAATAACAACGAAAACAGACCCGTAAATAAAAGACATAGTTACATTTGAGATTGAAACAATGTATATTTAGTTCAGTTTGGTAGTGTGCTTTTTGATCAAGTCGAACAAAGATGAACGAGTTGCTTTCTATCACGTGTTTACATAAACATGTGAAAATAGCGTGTGGCCTTGACTCCGGAAACCATACTGTTTCTTAATCAGAGGTGTTGTACGTCGCGTTGGAGTATCTTCCCCGCGGTGATCTGCGCAGCTACCTGCGGACGGCTCGCTCACAGTCAGACTCAGAGGAGGATGCCTTGTCTTCCGATCAGCTGGTCAAGTTTGCTATGGATGTTGCCAAGGGAATGGAGCACCTTTCTGAAGCAGGGGTAAGGAGCCGTCGCATATTTGCAATTTTTTTCAGTTGTTGATTATGAAAGGCTCACTTTTCATATTTGCACTCTACTGGAACCCTGTTTGGATTTGACATGCACGAAGTCCGAGTTTTATTAGGTGTTGGGCCTGAGCCCAACACCTATTGTTATTGTAAGAATTTACTATTTTTTTTTTTTTTTTTTTTTTTTTATTTCTCCAAGACACATTCGTTTCCAGAACCGTTTGTCAAAACGAAAACACATATGAACTTCAATTGTCAATACATGAATGCACAACCCACTGAAGATGTGCTTTTTTGCAATTACGTCATTATGACGTCATCATGGGTCACGTGACGTCACTTCAAAAAATAATACATTTAATCTTTGAAATTCAATATAAAACTAGAGTTTGAGGACAAACACACGGTGTTGGGCTAGAGGTTTGGCTTTTTCGCATCGTTGACTGTTGATTCTTGTTGTTGATTATTAATGTTGATTGTTGATTGTTGGTTGTTTATGTAGATGTTGATTGTTGATAGTTGATGTTGATGTTGATTGTTGATTGAATTTGACGGTGGTTTTTCATGTTGATGTCGATTGTTGATTGTTGATAGTTGATTGGTGTTGTTGGATAACGATTATTGATGTTGATTGTCGATATTTGTTGATGTTGATGTCGATGTTGATTGTTGATGTTGAATTTGATTGTTGATGTTGATGTTGGTTGTTGATTGCTGATGTTGATTGTTGATTGTCGAAAGTTGATTGTTGATGTAAATTGTTGATAGTTGATTGCTGATGTTGATTGTTGATTGTCGAAAGTTGATTGTCGAAAGTTGAGTGTCGAAAGTTGATTGTTGATGTTGATTGTTGATGTTGATGTTGATGTTAATTGTTGATTGTTAATGATGATATCGATGTTGATTGTTGATTGATGATTGTTGATGTTGATGTTAATGTTGATTGTTGATTGTTGATTGTCAAAAGTTGATTGTTGATGTTGATTGTTGATGTTCATGTTGATGTTAATTGTTGATTGTTGATTGATGATTGTTGATGTTGAATTTTGATGTTGATGTTAATGTTGATTGTTGATTGTTGAAGTTGATGTTGAGGGTTGAGGTTCAATTGAGGGTTGAAAAATAGTGCGTGTAGTTATTATACAGAGGATAGTTTAAAAAAGTCAGGTGAGGATCTGCAGGCGCACATGCTGCTGTACTGTAAACTGATCAAGTACAATTGTTACAAAAACCCACTAAATAGCTCATATCTCTAAAAGTAAAGGTCGCACACCATTGGCGCAATACAAAATATTGCTCGCCATACTCTCTTCATCCCAATGCGCATGTTTTTAGCACCCAATTTCAAAAAAGCGCCCAATTGGGCGCTTTTGCCAGCCCAATTTTTGAGTATCATATGACGTCATCGGAAGTCAAAAATGTGCTTGCGTTAAGAAGTTGTCATAAAACGTGTACAAAACACTTGTAAATACTTAAAGGGAATATACAACATTTGCAAACATCGAAAAATAAAACTACCAAGTTTTTGCGAAAAACCTTAATAGGACGTTGGTAAATGACAGTCTAAAGCATCCTGTAAAATTATGGCACCTGGTATACTGTCATTTTCAAGAAAAGTGGTATTTTTGTATCAATTTCCAACGCTGATCGGCCGATCAGCGTTGGAAACAACTGGCTTTTTTTCAAATACTGGCCCCAATTGACTATTGCACTTGTTTGCAATCGATTACAAACCTATGAACGGGTACTAGCCAGCTAGACTGGTTCCCTGACCTTACAATTCCCCAATGTATGTAAACTGCTCTGTTTCTTCTTATATGGAGTCAGGGAACCAGACTACAGGTAAATGATCGTTTTTCTTGGTTTTTATAGCATTTTCGAACCCAAAACCTCCAAAAAGTCAGTGTAACTATATTTGCTTTATATTTCCAATCCCCCAATTCCATCCATTTCTGAAAATTACAGCAAAAGCAAATGATGTATATTGCCTTTAAAATACATTGGTCCATCAAACAACCGTTACATGTAGCTCAATAGTTAACATACAACAGTCGTAAATCCAGATACTCACGAAGCTAGCACGGGGATGTCCCTTGTGTACGTAATCTGCTGTAAACACAATGTACGTGGCATGAAATGAGCGTTTCAAGACATAGGCGTGTTCAACTTCAAATTTCAGGGGGGCTGCAGGGAATTTTTTAGTTAATGTATTGAAAAGAATCTTTGGGAAGTTTTAGACATATTATTAAAGTGCCATTTTAAGCACAAAACTTGATTATATCTTTGACGGTTGATTTTTTAGTAATTTTC